GACGCCACCGCTGGACAGATCGTAAAAGTCAAAGCACTGATCGGTGGAGTATGTGCATAAATGCAATAAGTAATCAAGCTAAATTGCATGCATTTGCAAATTGTGCATGTAATTATGCATTTGCATATGATCATGAGAAATTTTTAAAAATGCACTCACTTTTAATATATCGGTCGAGTCCTCGATTGGATAAAACATTTAAATACAAAAACACGGAAATTAATTGTTGAGAAAAAACACTGAATGTAAAAATAGACAACCAATTGGATTATATTGCAGTGTATTTGTATGTGTTTTTTTATAACTCGTTCACTATAAGTGGGGTACACTATATATGCGTGTATTTTTATCGTGATTATTTTTATTTTTTATTGTCATTACATGTAGTTATAAATATTACACGATTGGCGTATTTATTATATTGACTCTTGATATTAATAAATACAAATATTTATCATGATGGTGCACAATTAAAAATTCTTTGTTTTTATTTGATTATAATCACAAAAATAAAGCCAATGTTTGCAAATTGCAATGAATGAGATTGCAATAAAAATAATATTACACAGGTTAAATATTTGCCATGGTGCAATCTCCACTGAAATGCAACCGAGCTCAAAATTAATTACACTTAATTAAACTTATAAATACTTTTGCAAAACAATATTAAACCATAACTATTAATATTAATTACTGCAAAAAAACAACTAAATTAAAACCAACGCAAATTAAAAGCACGATGGTCGCAGATGTGCAAATGCAATTAACGTACCATCATGTGCACAACACTATCAATAAATTAAATTATATAATATGTCAATAAAAGCAGACAATAAACTTGGTAAAAAACACAACACCAATTATAATAAATAATTAAATGACAATCACTGCACCCAAAAAAGTAGCTAATTTATGCTCGCAGTAAACGCACCGACACTACAATATTATAGTGCAATATCGGGTCGACTGTATTGGTGTCCGCGTATTCATATACAGTGTGTCCAACGGATTATGCATTTAATAATTTGCTGACAAATGAGACCAAAACATCTAGATGTATAAAAAACACACAATACATGGTTATAACGAGTAGTCAGCCATTAATTCATCTCGTATTTCAATTACTCAATACTGGAGCTGTATTTTTATTGTCTACCCATTCGTTTCCATGGCTACCGTATCGGCGCAACTGACAATACATACTGTACACAACCAATCATTGCGCAGACAGTAATAACGTTAAAATTCGTCAATAGAAAAATTCTGGAAATTTTTTGCATAAGTAAAGCTAATTTTAGCATGTTAGGTGCACTCACACACCCACCCTATTGCTACAACCACTACAATAATTGTAGAATTATAAATCACCATGTGTGTGTGAGTAGGGGTTAGGGCAGGGGTAAACCTTATAGATCTGCCACCAGTATATGTTAACATGTTTAATTTATTAATTGCATAATGGTCATTCGCAAAAATTTGCATCATTTTCTGTGCCAAATGATATAAAAATGCAATTAGTTTAGGGTTTATTGTAATAAAATTAAAATGAGTATGATCATGATTGCCATAAATTAGAGAAAAAAGTAATTTTACTATGACGTGGTTATATACTTTTGGCCTCTATGTGGCCTCTATGGCACTGATGAGCATGATTAAAATGATTAAAAATGATAATTTATTTATATATTAATAATTATTTATTTATAATAAACTAAAAAATAACGTCAATTTTCACTCCGAAATCTCGTGTGACTTAATATTTTCTTATAACAAAAGTCTAAAAAATTGTATTAAATATCGATAAAATTCTTCAATCCATTCCTCGGCGGTTAGTGTCAGTCCCACTCGTCATCGTTAGTATCATCGGTGAGGTCTTCACCGCCAGAGGGGACGGCCAGTGGTTGCGGCGGCGGAGGAATCAGCGCTGATATTCTCTGCATCGTCGACGAGGGGTCGCCACTACTGGTGGCCGGCGATGACTGATCCCTGGCCGCTGTCGCCGAGGCGTTGGCACCACTGATGCCTTTGCGGCGCATCAATAGCTTATTGAAGAGATCGGTCATTAGGTCTCCGCTGACCACTTCCTTCTGCTTGGCTTTCTTGGCCTCAATCTTGCGTTCGATGACAGCGTTTGTCGACTTCTTGGGCTTTCCGGCCGCCGCTCGGATCGACTCCAGTAGACTAGCTCTGGACGTGTCGACCGACGAGTTTTGCGGCACCGGTTTGTGAGCCGCCGGAGCACCGGTTGGCACAGCCGGAGAACCACTCGTCCCCTCTTTGGTCGGCGCCGGCGGTGGAGAGGGAGGCGGCGGTGGGGGAGGAGGTGGTGGCGGAGGAGGTGGCGGTCCAGCGGGCGGTGGCGGACACACCAGCGGATCAGTTTGGGCTACTTTTTGAGTGACGGCTTGACTATTGCTGAATGGCGTGTTTGGCTGCGCGGGTGGCGCACCGAGAGTGGGTCGGCCACCACCGGTGAGATTGGGATCAATTGCGGCGATTTCGGGCAATTGCGGTATCAATGAGTTAAGGCTGGGAATGGTTGCGCTGAGGAACTGCTCGTCCAATTGGCTGAACGCGATGTCGTCGGCGATGCCCGGCAGCGACGGTAAAGCGGTCGGCAAGTCGTCCATTATCTGCGGCGGGGGTTTAGTCTGCGGCAGATAGTGAAGTGCGTCATCCGTGGGCTCGTGTCGGTCCCGATAGGGCTGTATAGAGTCGGGCGCCGAGAATATGTCCGACTCCGGCGCCGACAACTCGTGCGGCCGTTTCGACCGTATCTTCTGGTCATAGATTGACGAACCTATGGATCAAATAGAAGAATGGATTGTAAGACAAAAACACAATTAATAAATCAATGATCGATACCCTGAGAGCGGCGGAGGAATGGGTTGTCGGCGGTGTTGAACACGAGCAGAGAGGACAGGGATGTGATGCGACGCCAGGGAATGGGACCCAAGGGTTCGGCGGCGACGCCACCGCTGGACAGATCGTAAAAGTCAAAGCACTGATCGGTGGACGCCATCGACGCCTTCGGTATGGAGAAGAACTGTGTCTTCTCTTTGAGCAGTTGGTCGTCAAACGGTATGTGCGGCGCCCGAACCCGACGCCCGTTAGCGCCGCCATCGCTGGTGGTGTCCGTCAGTGGCCTTCGGGTGCGGTTCGCGGGAATAGTGGGCGCGAAGGGGTCGGCCATCCGGAGCTCTTCGCGCGGATACTTATAATTGGCGTATATTTTGGTCGCTTTGTTGGCCAGAAGTCGGATCTGTTGGATGCGTTCGACGCATCGCCGGCGGCGGCGGTCGGCGTCCGTCAGCGTATCGCTCATCGATCGGATCCGGGCGTCGATGCGGGCGAACACGTGGTCGCCGAACGACGACAACGCGTCCAAACTGGTGATGATCTGCGACATCATCTCTTCGCGCCTCATGTTATGCGACACCAATTGGACACCACCTGATCCCTGGCCACCGCCTCCGCAGTCGCCGCCATCTCTTGTCCACCACTGGTCGTCATCGGCAGCCATAGCGAGCTGTCACTCACGAGACACACACTCACGCAAAGACACAGCACTTCCCACACCAGTAGTGGTGATGATAATCAACGCGACATCCGATGGATTGTTTGCATTCAAACACACGATTGATATCTCATTAATAATAATCACATTAAAAATCAATGACTAATGCGTTGAACACAACAGTCATGTCATGTGTTGTCCATTCAATTGGTAAACAACACAACGCCTATTGAATAGGGATTTAATACTGACTGTCCATACATTACGTGTGAACTCGTTTTGTGTGGCTTTGATTTCGGAGTATTTTTCCGCAAACTGTCTCTAATTGAAGACTTTTCCGAAGACTTTCCCTTCGAGTCTATACTGAAGTCATTTATCAATTGCTATTGTCGTGGACCACGGGTTGTTAGGCGGGCAATCGTAGGCATTGAATCCTACCGACTGCGCCATATGTCGTGGTCTGTGGGGAGTGTTGTGGCGACCAATGGGTTTGAGTCTATTATAACTATCTTTGAACTGATAGCGGTAACTGCGGTGACCTATCACTGGCTAGACAACCACCGGATAGGGAACGCGAGTGTATCACCTATTGGCCCG